AATACCTCTTCATTTCTAACCTTTTCTACCCACGATATCCTCATCATCCGCCTATAACACCACATTTCGAACGCTTCTAACCTTTTCTTTTCCGCCGCTCCCACTGTCCAAGTTTCGCACCCGTACAACGCCGTGCTCCAAACATACACCTTTAAATAATAAATAATAATAATCAAATGAAAGAGTAATTTACCAATATTTTACTTGGTAAATTGTTGTTGTGTGTAGATTCCAGACAGAGATAACAGTGGCAATGTTATACCTCCATGGAAGAGACAGATGTTGGCCAAAAAGGCCGCCGAGAAGGCGAAGAGAGAACTCGAAGAGCAGCTACAAAAAGAAGCTGAAGCTAAAAGATTACAATCCATACCACAGTGGAAAAGAAATTTAATCGCCAAGAAAGAAGAAACTGAAAACAAAATAAGGTGAGGTAACATTTAAAATAATCCGATTTTTTCTTCTAAATGACCCTGGCCAAAGTCAAAACAAACAAAATGACTACAACAATATTCACTAGTCAGTCGGTGTTATATGTATGTGAAAAAATTAATTAATAAAAGCATAAATTAAGAAAAAAAATTACAATGCATCGGCCGCGTATTGAACCCGGATCCGGTTATGCGGGCGCCGAGCATCCTTAACCACTGGTCCAATAACGCTTCCAACAAATGCTGCGTATAATAGATCGCCTCGCTATATTTTGGATAGAATTTGAATTTGTTTTAACTGAATATTATTAATTTTAATTTATTTTCATAAACTACTGAATTGTTCATTATTTATTGAAGATCCACAGTATACACTCCAAAATTACTGGACGAACCAAAGTCTCCTAAAGCCTTCGAGATACACGAATGCTCAAAAACAAAAGCTGCAACCTCCCAAGAGGGAAACAAGAATAATCAGGATGACAACAACAACAATAATAACTCGGCATTAAGTAACCCCCTGAAGCAGCAGAGTCCTGATAGTGACGACGAAAAGAATTTGATTCCTTGGAGGGCGCAGTTGAAAAAGACGAACAGTACGTTAAACCTTTTGGAGTAAGTAACTTTTGAAAAATTAATTAAGTAACGAAAAATCAATTTGTTTTAACACTTAAATAACAGCAAGTTTATTATTTTTCGTAAGCTTTTTTCTTTTANAAGGCGCTCAGGACGAACGTGAACAAGATTCCTATGGGAGAAGTCAAAGCCAGATAGGTGTTCAACTTGGCGGCGATCTCTTGTTCGCAGGTGTCTCTGATGTAAATTTTCAGTTGTCCAATCCCGAATCCGTTCCCCATACCGATAAGAAATCGGCTTATCAAGATTTCCGTGAGGTTACCGGCACAACACATCACAAACCATCCAGCTAGTTCGAGGGTGGCGGCCAAGAGAACCCCGTGCTTTGCTCCCAAACGCTTACTGGTGGAGAAAAATGCTCCCAAACAATTGCCCTTCCAAAGAAACGAAGTTATCAAAGCGGTCTGGTTCAATCTTATGGGTATGGGTGACTCGTCGCCCATGAGAAATGGATAGGCATGCGAAGACCAGCCTAGCATCATCCCAAATGATATACCAATGAGATAACCTGAAAAAATTTTGTTAATTGTCAAATACATATAGGAGTTGGAATTATTTGTTCTGCTTCCCAAACTGAGATTAATGATTTTATTGTTCCTTTGTTTTTTTTTAAGAATTTTTACTTTCATTTTTTTTTGTCGATATGTACTTATACATGCATATAATACCTACATATCTTACTGTGCGTAATAGTTAAGTCAATATACCATGTAACTCTATTTTTCTTATACATATATCAATGTATATATAACATGGGTATGATAAAACAGTATTTATACATTTATACACATATTGCGGTAATAAAACGTAAAACTTTAAGAATTATTCGTCTAATTGTAAGTTAAAAGTTTTTCCAGTTTAAATAAACAAAAAAAAAATTGAAAATATTTGTATAATTTCTTAAAAAACAGGAAAATAATGTTTCTAAGTTAATAAAACGTAAGAAGAACAGGTAGGTATTACAAAATTTTGATATTTTATCAAATTTTAACAGAACCAAATAATATTATTGATTANTGGTCTGCAAATTTCTTTATTTTATATAAAAAAATGATCCAAAAGTAGTATGTCATATCGAACGGAAAAATATGCATATTATAATATTACTAATTAACTTTTCAATTTTTAAGCCTTTAAATAATTTGCAGTTCTATTAATTAAATCAGATACTTTACGATATTGAAATTTTGTACTTGTAATAAATTTTGTAGCTTCAACAAGCACCTCTAAAACAAAGACTTAAAAAATAAAACCATAATTTACTTAAAGTAAAAATTTTATTATTTTTAAAAACAAATGCGTAGAGGTAGTTCAGAATTTCATGACACACGACCCTGTGACATTTGCGCGAAAGGCTAAAGGAGAACTCCAATGCCAATATCATGAGATTCTAGAATAGGTACCTGTACGTAGTTCTTTTCTAGAAAACCATTGCAATTCTTCATATAGTTACCAGAAGATATCTGCTACCCCTAATAGAACGATAATAGAACGTGTCATAAGCAGCCCCTTTAAATTAAGTACACAATCTTTTTTTTATTTAATTATATTTAATTTTTATTTCATCAATACTTAACTTTATTTTATAAAACAAGAGTATTTTCCTTATTATTTAAACACAGCAAGAGACGAAAGTACATAGTTCATTTTTAAAATACAAATTTGTCACTTCAAATATATACAGGGTGTCCCACACATTATAGGTAACTTTTCAATTGCATATGGAAGACGCCAAGTCCAATAAGAAAATTATAACACGATAAAATCCAAAAACTGAATTCAGAAAAGAAAAATACTTTCATTTATGGTAGAAACTGATGAGCAGAGGTGCCAATTTGAAAAAGATTTTCTAGTTGGGTTTCCCCCAACATACTGAAAAAATAATTCACGGAACATTATCATCACCATCGTCGCTTTATCTTCCGCCGTTGTTTCAGATTTCACCCCCACTACTACATCTTCATAACAATTATTATCCTTGACAGACAGCGAAACACTTCAAACCCTTCTTTGTAATACATAAGGGTCAAAATTTCGTAATATAAATAGAAACGTTTTTATCTTTGTCATCCTTATTACTGCCATTGTCCTTCTTTTGGGACTCGTCTTCGGGCAGGGATTGTTTATAAAAGATGGCTATAAAAACGGCGCTGGCTCCAGCCACACTGGTCATCAAGACGTACCCAGCATGTACCCCGTAATGGTAATAGAGCTCTTGAAAACTCTTGGTTATCAACAAAGCACTAAGCGAAAACACGGTAATGTAAACACCACCTGCAAAATCCTTGGCGTTGGCAGGGAAAATGTCCTTTATTATGAGTAACGACACCGTCCTTATACCGAAAGTATGAACAACGTTGAACGATAAAGCTATCACCAAAGGTAACCACGAAAAATTACGATTCAACTGAAGAACGTCGTTTTTGTAATAGAAAAACAAAGTCATTAGCATCATCAGGAACGACGTAATACTAAAGCTACTGACAAGTAAAATCTTTTTGGAAAAACGTTGGGTAAACTGCAAGGAAATTGTAGTCATAACGAGAAAAACAAACCCATAAACTATAACACATATTTGGGGGTAGGGATTTTCAGCCTCCCTATAAATTAATTCAGCAAATATGATATGCGGGGGTCCACCCGATACCCTCTGAACCACCACCAAGATGGTAACAATCAACATGCTATGTCTTATAGAGCTATCACTCAAAGCTTCGAACACCCCAAGTTGTTGATCTTCGATCGTGTAATGCCTGTAGGTCTTGGTCACCTCCATAATCTTCTCTGTCTTCACCGGATCAATGATATTCCTTATTACCGCCACCCTTTTGTTTTCCATATACCTCGGTTTCTTCGGTATGAACCCGAATAAAACCAGGGCAATAAAAGGAAAAACAGTACAGACAACGGACACAGTCCTAAAGGACACCAAGGCGCTCAGGACGAACGTGAACAAGATTCCTATGGGAGAAGTCAAAGCCAGATAGGTGTTCAACTTGGCGGCGATGTCTTGTTCGCAGGTGTCTCTGATGTAAATTTTCAGTTGTCCAATCCCGAATCCGTTCCCCATACCGATAAGAAATCGGCTTATCAAGATTTCCGTGAGGTTACCAGCACAACACATCACAAACCATCCGGCTAGTTCGAGGGTGGCGGCCAAGAGAACCCCGTGCTTTGCTCCCAAACGCTTACTGGTGGAGAAAAATGCTCCCAAACAATTGCCCTTCCAAAGAAACGAAGTTATCAAAGCGGTCTGGTTCAATCTTATGGGTATGGGTGACTCGTCGCCCATGAGAAATGGATAGGCATGCGAAGACCAGCCTAGCATCATCCCAAATGATATACCAATGAGATAACCTGAAAAAATTTTGTTAATTGTCAAATACATATAGGAGTTGGAATTATTTGTTCTGCTTCCCAAACTGACAGAGTGCACTTAAGATTGGGATTGTTAAAAAAATTATAATTTTTGTGAAATTTCTATCAAAAAAACATGTAAATTTTGTTACAATTTTTGTTTCACTAAAATACTTATAGCTGTAAATTGTGGATAGTTTGAATATTATCCATTTGATTCGTAAACTATCCATTTGTGGATAAAGTACAAACCATCTTTTCATTTAATTGGTTTAGATAATATAAGTTGATAAATTAGTCAAAGTATCGATTAGTTTGCACCCTTTTCTTGTAGCCTGTATTTCACCTTCCAATTCTGGATAGTTTGTAAACTAACTGAATAGGGCATAAGTTATTAATTTTAGTAAAACTAATTTGGTCACAGTAGATACTATCCGGCTAGTTTATAAATTAGTCCGAAAAGTATAGATTACTTAGCAGTACTCAGTACTATTCTTGTGGTTTTTGTCTCATGTTCAAATTCTGGATATTTTGTAAACTAACTGAATAATGCACAAGTTATTCTTAGTAAAAACTGATCTATTCATTTGCCTGGTTTAGATACTATCCGGCTAGTTTATAAATTAGCCAAATGTATCCATTCGTTTGTGTATTTTTCTTGTAGCCTGTGCACCTGTTATTATTGGATAGTTTGCAAACTAACTGGATAATACACAAGTTATCCAATTTATTAAAAGATGATTTGATTTTACATTTGATTAGTTAGGTGTGATAAATATTGTTATTTTTACTTACCAAAAAGTACAGGAACCACCTGTAAAATCTTTTTTCGTGTTTGTGGGTATTCATATTTCACTCCTCCCATATCTCAACTTTAAAACAAAAAACACAAAACACTAACCGTAGAACACCACCAAGACGCCTTCTAGCGCAGACGAAAGACGAAATAACTTTCGTATTAATCCCGTGTGCTATCTGACGACAGAATATATTCAAAATTGCACCTCTCTTTCAACAATTAGTAAGATCCCGATTACAATAGATTGTTAATAATGGTCCCACGATCCTGTGTTTGCACGATTCATTAAATACCTTTAACACTTTTAGAATCCAAATCAAATATCGGTAATTAATAAATACCTCGATACATATGTAAATGTGTACATACATACACCAAACCAAAAAAAAAAGGAGAATATGCCAGCATTTTTTTCTATTGTTCTAACAGCATTGTCTACGTAACATCCCAAAAAGATTTTAATTAACAACGAAATTTTCCAATGAAAAGTGGACCTGCAGATACACTTATGTAATAATTAGTAAAATGATTTTAATTACTTATGTTTACCGTCTCAAAAAAGGAATGCCAAAGGTCATACACGGATCATGCATGCATCATAAAAATATATGCGCTTTTTGTTATTTTAACATATTTTTATGAATAAGAAGATATTGCATTTTGTTTTTCCTTTAATTAAAAAAATGAGTCTTTATGCCAATACGTTGTTTCAGATTTCACCCCCNATATTTTATTCTACTAAAACCAAAAAAGAACTATTCAAATTTAATATACCGTTCAAATTTTTGAAAACTATCGATTATATAACGATTTTAAAGTTCGAAACAATATTTCAGTTCCAGAAGGTTCTATAACTACCAGACTTAAGACTGAAGACTAAAGCTAACTTAAGAAAAAGGAAATTTTTATTTAATTTATACTGTATGAAAATAAATAAAAGTAAAACAAAAATACTGGTATGCAAGGGAAGGAAAAATAGAAAAAGAGTAAATATAAAGGTAGGAGAAGAAAAATTAGAACAAGTGGCCGATTTTAGGTATCTAGGAAGTCAGATAAGTTAGGACGGAGTTAGGAGTAGTAGGGATATAAAGCAGAAGATAGCATTGGGTCGTGTCGCCTTTAATAAAAAGAAGTCACTTCTATGTTCGCGAATAGTTAATTTAGAAATTCGAAAAACGTTGTTAAAGTGTATGTTTGAAGCGCGACACTGTACGGGTGCGAAATATGGACAGTAAGCACTGCGAAAAAGAAAAGATTAGAAGCGTTTGAAATGTGGTGTTACAGGCGAATGATGAGGATACCGTGGACAGAGAAGGTTAGAAATGAAGAAGTATTAGAAAGAATAGGAGAACAGAGGACTCTATGGAAGTCAATAGGAAATAGGCGAGATAGGTTAGTAGGACAGAGAGGTCAGAGACACATTAGAAGCAGAAACGGGAGTTAGGAGGGGTAGGTTCTAGCTTTAGATAAATGCGAAGATTTGATCTGGATAGGAAAAGCTGGAAGTCCAACCAGTCTTAGGACACACGACTTTATGATGATGATGATACTACAATTTAACTTTTGTGAGTGAATTCTTGTTGTTTAAAGGTTCCTTGAACTTTGAAAATCTGTTTAAATGCTTATGAATAATTAAAGAAGAAGTCTTCCTTTTTTTAGGTCGAATTATTGTCCTGTTTCGTTTAGAAATCGTTTTTGTCGTAATAAAGATCTTTGGAGATATGCAAGGAAATTTTCGTTAAAAAATTGCATCGCTGGTTAGCTCCTAGCAAATTTACAAAGGATTCAAGGATTCTATACATTAGTAATACATCAATGGAGTTTGTGCGACAGCCTCAGATCTCATGATAACGACAAATATTTCTTGCCATGACATAAAAAAGAGCAATTAATAAACAAATTAATTCTCACCTAGATCTCTTCGAACTGCAAAAAAATTGATAAAAACACCTATCATAGACACCTAGTTCCCTTGAAAAGTTCTTACGTAATAGTGATGGTGTTCATAACTCAATTACCATTTTGACGAACTTGACACACACAATGGCTACAATGGTGTGTTAACTGGTGTCAACACAATCTGCACCTTTTCTAATTACACGGTTCTTAAAGTCTAATGTGCCTATTAAATCGCAAAACAAATCTAAAGCAACAAACAAGCCAAAACTGTCAATTTCTTTGGTAAACCTTATTGCAAAATATTAAGTATAAAGTTCACATTTTTTCTTGCTTTTCTGCATAGAGTATCTTGCACTCATATTTTATAGCATATCGAACATATAATGGTGCAGTTCTTACCTTATAGTTGCCTCCTTTTGGCGATGCTATCTGAAAAATAATAAAAATGCGTTTTAGTGGTAGACAACAATGATTTTTAATTAATTTTTTAGTGATTTTCATTATAAAATAAGTTTATGACTTTTTAATTTGGACAGAAATCGCAAAAATCCCAGATATTAAGGGTTAAAACGCGAATATTTGATGCTGGAATATCATCCCTTACAAATACAATAAAATGAGCTCCAGAAAATATTGAACTGGTAACTGATTTTTAAAAACAAAGCTCAAAAATCCAGTGATTAGCAACTATATAATATTCACATTCACGTTTGGTTAGTTTAGATACGATCAAGCTAATTAAAAAGTTAGTCAAAAGTATCGATTACTTTGTGTTTTTTCTTGTAGAAACTGTTTTAGTTATAAATTCTGCATAATAAGTGAAGAAAGTGCTTAATGCACAACTTATTCATCATCATAAGATCGTCAGTCCTAAGACTGATTGGACACGCACCTCCACTCTTTCCTATTCTGAGCTAATCTTCGCATTTCCCTAAAACTAGAACAACCCACATCCTTAACTATTTGCGAACAGTAATCTAATCTAAGTCTACCTCTACTCCTAACTCCTGTTTCTGCCTCTAATATGCCTCTGACTAGACCTTCATGCCTGAGAAGGTGTCCTACCAACCTGTCTCGCCTATTTCATATTGACTTCCTTAGAGTCCTCTGTTCTCCTATTCTTTCTAATCTCTCTTCATTTCCACCCCTTTCTACCCACGTTATTCTCACCATTCGCCTGTAACACCACATTTCGAACGCTTCTAACCTTTTCTTTTCCGCCGCACCCACCGTCCATGTTTCGCACCCATACAGCGCCGCGCCCCAAACATACACCTTTAACAATCTTTTTCGAATTTTTAAATTAACCGTTCGCGAGCATAGATGTTACTTCTTTTTATTGAAGGCGACACGACCCTACGCTATCCTCTGCTTTATATCCCTACTACTCCTTCCGTCCTGACTTATCTGTCTTCCTAGATACGTAAAATCAGCCACTTCTTCTAATTTTTCATCTCCTATCATTATATTCGCTCTTTTCCTACTTATTATTCCCTTGCATACCAGTATTTCTGTTTTACTTTTATTTATTTTCATACAGTATAGTTTTGTCAGTACCGTTTTCATTTTATTTAAAGCTATCTCTAAGTCCTCAATGTACAAGTTATTAATTTTAAGAAAATCGTAGTTTTCAATTTTACTTCAAGAAATTCAGTCAATTCAACTCGAAAACGGGGACAACTTGCGCTACCCCATGAGTAAAGGGCCTTTGCAAATTTTGCGGATCTAACTTTGAACATTGGTCATAATGATGCTTTTCTTCTTGGAAATGAGTGAAATTTACAAAAATAAAGATATATAACGAACTCAAATGGCTATTTTACCCCAAATACTCTGTTTGTTTTTCAATTATCGAGTTAAAATTAGACCCCACATCTTACTTTCCAGCATACCTAAGTCGAAGCAAACCTTTATGAAGTTTATCCATCAAATTTTAGTAAAAACAAAAACTTTACAAGAACAATTTGTTTTGGCGCTTAACTTAAGTAAGATATTCCAGGTTTTAGACAACCCATCGGGCACTGGCACATGCGCTTTGAGTTCGCTGACTTTCAAGTAAGCCAAGTAATCGAGCAAAGCAAAGAATGCAACAGGTTCTTGGAGTTCTTGAATTTCTACCTCTGCCGTACCATTACCTGGTCGGATACCTGAATGGTTACGAGCGGTTCTAGTTGTTCAGACGGGCCGATTTCTCGAAAAAAACAGACAGAAAATGACAATTCTAACAAGATAGTGACTGAATAACGTTTTTGAAATAATCGCGTGTGTTTTTTACGTAATTATCGTTTTTTCTTTTTGCTTTTTTAAAGTTGTGGTGAGTGTTGTTGATTTCGGTTGCTTCCTTCGTATATATACAGAAAGTGTTTCAAAATGCCTTGTTCAGCTATTACCCTTAGTTTAGCGACCATAGCTTCAATTATAGCTGTAGCCTTGCTAGCCATCGCTTTCGCAACGGACAACTGGGTTTACATCGAAGTGAAACGGTCCAATATTCAGGTAATCAGATTTTTTATTTCACTACGTTTCGTCGCAGCCACGGGTACAATATGTAACATTTTATTTCCGCGATTCGTGAAGTCGTGAAGATGGCCCAGCGCCAGCTTTTCTTTCCTGTCAGCCACATATGTTTATCTGCATGTATGTATGTATGTATGTATGTACGTATGTATTAAATCGAAAGCCTCGAATGTAGGTGAGGTTGGTGAAAACAGAGAGAATAATCTCGCTATGCCAATCCTTAATGCCTACATGCATAATGTATAAGGAAATATTTGAGGAATGCTGTTGTATACATGTAAAGACTTGTCCAAGTACAGATAATTAAAAAAATCTGTCAAGTGCGCGCCGAGAGTTCCGTACCCCCGATGAAATACATTATTACGTACAAAAGTTTCGAAAATTTAAAATTTCTTCTTTATCATTTAAAATTGTGCATTGTGTTTGATGATAAGTTTGTAAAAATCTATAAGGATTTTGTTTTTCTAAAATTTTAGGATCAAGCTGTTTCGGATTTATTTTTGCATAATATTTCTCGGCTCATTAAAAATTATGAAAAAAATATTTTCGAATTATTCTGCCCGAGTGCTTTCAAATGATACCCCACATGATATGTACAAAAAACAAAAAACACCTGGCTTACTTAGTTTGCCCCCCCCCTCTCCCTTCTTTGTTTCTTAGGTAAATATTTTAAGTCACCGGGTAAAAAATATAATTATCAATTTCGACGTTACATGATTTCCAAAATAATCGGCTGTGACAGATGTCAGTAACCTTATATATAAAGGGTTCCGCCTTGTTTCCTACTGAGGAACCCTAAAATTAATAAATGTGCACTCTCCGGCGGCTTTAACCTTTGTGGTACCCCTGGACATCCTGAATACTGAAAATAGGCCTAAGCAACCTTTCCCTCTTACAAATAAACGATTTAAGCGTCAATTAGTTCCAGAATGTTGTATTATCAGCTATCTCAGTTACACTAATTTTGTTTACAAGACAGAGAAGACTTTATTGGTTGGTTTTATTCCATAATATCTTTTAAACTGCTTAATTAAGTAGGGTAAAAACTAGACAATACGTTTGTTAAACTGTGGTCTGCAAAACCCCGGGGTTCCATGGAGATTAGGTACTAATAGGTTCCGAGAAACTTACATGGTTTTTTCATGATAGTAATATATGAAATAAGATTTAAAACGTAAATCCCATTGTTAAAAGTCTTATTATTAAGTTATCTCAAGAACTTTCGGATAAATATTAATATTACTATATGAAGCAAATAAATATAATTCAAAACAACCATCATTTGTAAAACAAATAGTCCATTGTTGCATTAAAACTATATTATTGAAGAAAACAAGGGGCTCCACAAAAACTGGCAACATTAAAAAGGGTACCGTCAATCAATACCCTTAAGAAATGCTCTTTTATTTTTAATATTTCTATTCTGCGTTTATTAGGGGGGTTCGTATTATTAAGGTAAAAATGATACTCTCGTCAGGTATCCATCTGTCCATCTGTCATAGTCATTTTCCTTAGAAACGATTAAACGTAGAAATGTAAAACTTGGCATAGTAACACTAAAACATGATGATCCTCTTTCAATTATTATAAATTCTAAAACATTTATAAGGTACAAGGCTTAGTATCGATAGTGCTAAAAATATACTTGATCAGGTAAGCTTTTCGAATGTTTTTTTTGTTTTTCTCATTTTTTTTTTATTATTTTTGTATCAATTACTATCAGCTCCATTAACATTTTTTAAAAAGTACATTTGGTTACAAAAATCGTTTAATTGTCTACTGCAATTGCTTCGTTATTTCAGGGAGAAGAGTATTTATTATATATTATATATTTCTTAAACATGAAATAGTTTGAAATCATTTTTTTCGATTTTTTATTTACCCACTACAAACTACCTCAAATTAATGAAGGAAAAATTGTTGCTGTTGTCACACCCTCGGCGGGAATCGAACCCGCGACCTTTGGCTTTACTCACCAATGTTCTGAGTAAGCGTAAAGCCACAGGTCCCGGGTTCGATTCCCGGCGGGTGTGTGACAACAGCAACAATTTTTCCTTCATTAATTTGAGGTAGTTTGTAGTGGGTAAATAAAAAATCGAAAAAAATGATTTCAAATTAATATTGCATATTAATCCACTATTAAGTAACTAACAATGTCATAGGATTTCATATATTTAATGAAAAAGTTATTACATTGCGAAACAATTGTTGTGGACAGTTAAACAATTTGCAGCTCAGCGTGTTTTTGGTATAGTATCTAATATTTCCAAAGACAATGACTAGAAAACCAGGAACTCACTATCAAAGACGCCGTTCGTGAATGTATACACTAATTTATTAGCGCTTTTTCTTAAAATAATTTTTCAAATGGCCTGTCTCGCTTTTGTACAAAAATAATACGCACAAATAGTTTTACAATTACTTTTATTGAACGGTCAAGTAAACATTTTTATTATTTATTATAAGTAATGAACTTTCTACATCAAACAATTCTAGACATTATACAGGGCGTAATAACTGTGTATTATTTACGTATATGAACTGGTACGACAACTACAAATAACTGACCAAAAGGTCGTGTTCTACTTTGTATTTGTACTGTGCCCCAAAAATTATTTTGTATTATATTTATTTATTTTATTGTATCCACTTGTAGTTGAATTTTACAAAAACGAAAAGAACTAATGTAGTTTCTGTAATATTAATAAAAAAACATTAAGAAGTAATTTAAATAATTTAAAAGTTCGAAAATAGAAAAAATAAAATCAAAAAGTACTTAAAAATGAACAATTATTTTAAAAATACATTTTTTTTATAGCAATAATGACAAAAATTTTGTTTCGTCGAATTAATTTACTGTAGTAAAAAAAATTATTATTTAAAAACGTTTGGGTTGAAAACTATGTTCTAAAATTGTTCGATAAAAATGAAATACACGGTATTTTATCTGTAAATGTTGGTTATTGAATGAAAGTGGCAAAATCTAGTAGAAAATTAAATGGAATGCATTGAAACAGTCCAGTCACTTTTACTTGTTGATGATAGTACAGTAGATCGATGGCAATAATCAATAAGTCCATTCTTGACTTTTATGCTTTCAAATAAGCATATATACATGTACCTTCTATTCAATCTGTTTTATTTTTTTTTATTTTGTTGCATTATTCATCGTTTTCGTTTACTAGACCATTAGGCATTTAAAAAATTTTATCTAACATTTAATGTAGAATAATCACTTTGTTTCTCTAAAATTAACAATCAAAAGAGTCACTTTTTCTAAATGATTCATCAAAAATATATACGTCATACCATTTTCGTTATAAATACGATAAATCCAAACGATTTTTTTTCTAAATTGGGTTTTCTGCATTTCCAAAAAACCATTTGTTTTGTTTTATTTAAACTACGGACTCTTGGGACACACCTCTATGTAAATTGCATAATTCTCTATCTATTTCAGTTCAAATTAACGGGCTATCTTCGTTAAAGTAATGAAAAGTTTTCAGGAATTTAGTTCCAAATTGAAAAACAACAGTTCTTGAACGGTATTCACATTAGAAAATGCTTAATAGTCCGGTTAACCTTGCCATTAAATTCCTTACTGTCTACAGGATGGCTTTTGTTAATTACTTACAATAATTGTTTATCACTACACTGGGTGTTTTATATTATGCCCATTAGTAAGGTAACACATAGGTACCAACAACAACAACCAAGATGTGGTTTATTTGAAATAGTTGCATTTAAAATGCAAATACAAAATAAAAAATACCTATTTTTGTCGTGCGATTGAACACTTTTTTTATCTTGCATTTAAATACATGCGTTTTTTCCATTAAAAATTTTGCTAGTGTTGCCGATCAGACATTATATAAAATGATGAATGAAAAGGGGACATCCCATTCATTCCTTCTAATTCTTTAGCTGAAGAGAGCCCACAAAATTCTAAACTCCTTGGAAATGGATAATCTAAAATATTAGATCGATATTGTTTTCCGGGTTCAGTGTCATGATCCATGGAATTTTGATGTTCCAAATTGATAATAGCACCTGCTAAATCACCACTTTAACAAGGAACTACGAAATTCTATGAATTACGACAAAACAGCCCGCAAAACAATATCGAATTGATATACACCAGCTGTGTAAAACTGAAAAATACAAGTTATCGTGATGTGCTAATAAATGCGTATGATAAAAAATTCTTTGACAACGATTCGCAGAACTTCACTTATTAGATGAACCCAAAGCTTAAGAAACTATGGATTCCATTTCTTTTCTGTGTAAAAGATCAGAAACAAAATGTAATTGTAAATATTTTGATATAAAATGATTGATGGTGATTTTACACAAATAAAATTATTTGCAACCCTATTTTGGTTCTAATCTTTCACGCTAAGCAAACTATTTTGACATCAGTGTCTTTTTTCCAATTAAAACGAGAATTATTTCTATAGAGGAATTATTTCTTGCTAAATTAAAGAAGCTATAACATAAAGATAGAAAAACTATATCTCAATCACTTCAAACAGAAAAATATGAACCATACTCAATCTTCGCAGCTGGTGATATAGTGCAAACACCACTATTATAGTCTAGAAAAACCCCATTATTTAAAAAATGAGAAAATGCCTGCAAGGTTTTCTTCAAAAATATTTTATACTTCAGTAAATGTAGAAAATTAAATACCTACTACAAAAAGTATTTATTTGAAAAAAGTATTTTGAAAATACGTATTTTGCATTTAGCATTTAAAATACAAAAGGGAAATATATTTTGTATTTTACGTTTGAAATAACAAATCAAAAAAGTATTTGCATTTTATATTTAAATGCTTTTAAAAAACTATTTTGCAAATCTCTAGGTAGCAATAATAATTATCAACCGATCGTCATGAAATTTTGTACAAACATTATCAGGGATATGGAAAAGGACGTAGGGCACCTATTTTCCAAAAAAATAAAAAAATACTCTACCCG